ATTGTTGTTGTATTGAGAATACTCTCTCCTAAAACACGATAGATTAGGAATAGGCGTGGTAGTATGTCTCGGCTTCGTATTGGACCAAATAACCCAGTTACAGTGAGAATATCCTAACTGCCTTGAAAAAGATTTTATTTTATCAAAGTTACCAAAGTTTTTGCCTCCTCTACTTGAACTGTAGCAATCCTTTTAATCGATGCAACTAATTTATGCACTAACTCGTATTCGCTAGTTTATTGTGGTAAGAGACCTAAAGTAACCTGTCTCGCATACAAAGTAAAGCGCTCAACAGCCCAGCAAGACTATTTGAATCATTTTGAAATCCGAAGCTCCATCACTATTACCAACTAAGGAATTAGATGATGCTTAAAATTGAAAATGAGAATATAACCCTTCCATCTGAGAAAACCTTATTACCTTTAAACTTAAAATTATAACGAATATAATCCCCACGTTGAAGGGGAAACTTTAACTTCTTTAAAGATATGAAGACCAAGATGTTGTGGCCTCTCGTATGCTCGAAGTCCCCTTTCGATGTATAGAAGTGGGTTGACCTCGTTGACCAAGTTGCGACAACGAGTTCAACCCACTACCTTAACTTATTTAACCAGATAACTTGATGATAGACACCTCCTTCATGCTTGAATCATCCTCTTTAACTAAGACCTTCAAAGCCGTTATCTCGTCGTGTCAGTAGGACCTTGTAGACTGTATTTCGTCCGGCGTTATCTGGCATATAATTTATGACAACTTTCCGTTTCGGAACGTTGACTTGATACATTCTCATTAAGCCTTGTCATTAGTAGCACCGAGCCACTATTCGTCAAAAAAGCCAAGTGAAGTCCATCCTGACTACGCTTCCAACAAAATGTCTAAGAGTACATAGAAAACCATGGTTCGATGCAGAAAGTTACCACGCCTGCCATGACAGATGACTCCGGATGATGTGACTCCGTCGTAGTCTCAATGACACCACGAACGATATCATTTCAATTCCATCCAGGTAACGGAAAAGCGATACTTTACTTACCGTATAGTTGGGACCAATCTTATAGGACAAATCCAAATCGAGGAAACAATCATAATTTCCTTCGATCAATGTAAACAGTTGCCCCCTCCCCGACGCCAGTTCTGTCGGTGTATTTAAGGTTTTACTCCTTAGTTAGATTTTGTAAATTTCTGGACTGAAATCTACCATCGCACTTTTGATCCACCAGCAAAATAAAATGCGAGAAGAATAGCCAGCATAGAACATCAAAAGAAGGAAGCATAAATAGATATAAGCATCCGAACGTTGATGAGACCTTCAAATGGTCGAGGTGTGTGTCAACGGTTCAAAAATAAATCAGAGTATTTAGCTAAAAGCCCGAAAATCTAAAAATTGAAGTACATACTCTGTTGCTCGGTAAACGGTAGTTTGTACTTGATTTTACACCCCTATAACATAAGAATAATTCAGACTAGTAGTTCATGAGCACTATGTCCACACAGCATGCCCAGTGTACATGGTTAAGAGGTGACAAAATACAGATAATTAAAAATTAAATTAATTTAAAATTCTATCATCACACTCACTTTGATGAACAGATAGCTCTTTGAGTTCACATCATCGGCAAACCAGAGTAGGCCCGAAGTTATGCCTTTGGGCAGGCTGAAGTCAAGAGTCACCTCCTCTGGGTCGTTGGGCAGTGTCTTTATACGGTTACGAAAGTCATAGCGCACATATCCACCATTCTGCTCGTAGTTGACAGAGGCTATTGTACTTGCAGCCTGTTGCATCTGATGCATCTTCTCCGGTGAAAAGCCATAAGGCCACTTGTTACGTCTGAATCTTTCTGCATAAAAGTCATCCTTGGAAACCGACACTGAGGCCGTGACTTGAGCCCCATCACGACGTGGCCTTCGAGGCCGTACCGTGTCTGGATGCGTCAGTTGCCATTCACGCAATTCAACATCCACCTCCGCTGTACTAGAATCCCAGACCTGACTATTCGATTCCCAATTGGCCTCGAAAGGTCTATGGAGAAACTGGCTAGTCACGTCTGTGACAGATCCGAAGAAGATGAGCGGCTGACCAAGTAAGCTCGGTTTGAGCTGACCTAAGGTACTGTCGAGACCGGCGAGTGGGACTTTAACTTGGGCACTCTCAGGCGCCGGCGTAGAGTCCAGGCTTACACTGTCAACAGGCATGCCGTCCAATTCAACGTTCACAGACAACTGTTTGTTGTTAACGTAGGTGAGAATGGGTGCCGACTTTGAGTCCGTCTTCCGAAAGTTAACAGTAAAGCCAAGGTTCGTCCAGACAGAAAATACATCTCCAGTACGCCCAGTTAGCCGATCCGGCCGTGAGACTTGTGCCAACAGTGCAAAGTCAGCATCATCAGAAGTGGTGATATTCAGTCCGGTCTTGGGGCTGTCTAGGGCTCGAGGCTCGAGAAATGCCAGACGTAATTGGCCGACTGTCGGCAAAACAGAGACTCGGAGCAGCAAAGGTCGTGATCCGAGTCCAGGCTGGTCGGGGAGTAGAAGAAGCAGTGAAAAGAGATTGACCTCTTGTCGCCCGAGCTTCGAAGAGCTGTTGTTGCGAGCGTGTAGGCGAACTGCGAACGAGACACTGAATTCACCTAGACAATATAAAAAGCTACCTGCTCAGATATTCAAAAGGCTCGCAATTATAACCAGTATTGTAAATATCAATGATTGAAAAATGATAGAGTGAAATGGGGCTCAATGATTTGTGCTAATTTATGTGTTTGTATACGTGTGTTAGTGCTGGTTTTAGCGTTTAGGCCGTCCTGTGTGTCGATAACCGAGATAGGTCTGTATTGACCCACTCTAAGGCCCCAGGTACGTCCTCGGTACCACGCGTTAAAGTAGACAGTTATTTCGACTCCATGCCGTGGGACTCGGACTCGGGTCAAGCTCAGTGGCTAGGCTATCCACTTGTAATGTGTGGCTCAACTGACAGACAGGTTGGGAGGTAACTGTCGTATAGGGTTATAGTCTTATCAATCGAAATCTCTCAAATCATAGAACACCGTCTCAAATGAAGATGACTAAGATGGCAGAAAGACTTCGAAAAATAGGTAAAAAGAAAATCCTTCTTTAGGCTTCCGGTTTTGGTGTTCTTTCACTTTTTACTGCCTGACTCTTCTTGTCCACTCAAGCAAACTAAATTCCCCCCCAAAAATCTAGAAGGTATCTGTCTTCTTACAATCTCAGACAGAACTCCCCTCAGGCCGATTGTAGCTAAGGGCAGAAGTTTTTGGCTTTACAAATGCTTTCAGAAATTGTCTGCTATGACTTTAATTCCATTTAGGCCGAAGAAGTCAAAGTGTTTTACTCAATTTGACTGATAGTACTATCAGTCCAACCATGACACAAAAACTCGTACCAAAATAGCACTCCTGATGGCGGCAAGACAAAACCATCATTAAGACAAACTAGCTTTGAGAAAAATAATTTGACTATACTACTGAAATCACCTATTCAGTACTACCCCCTGGTATTTGATTAGAATGTGGTCTCGATTTTACTTTGTAGTAGGAAAAAACCGTCTCGAATGAAAGATTAAAGGACCATCCTTAATTTCATAACTTCCTGTCAAGTTGCAATAGTCAAGACCTTTGGCTGGCCAGTTAATAGAATAAGATGAAAGTATAGCCGAAAATCTGGATTTCACTACAATTCGTCATGGGCCAATTTGCGAGTATGGAATGGCGAAGTTATAACTTCTGATAGCTAAAAAAAAACAAACTGTTTCTACCTTTAAGGAGAAGCGGGACAGAGTGGTTGATAATGATACGTGAGTAAAGTAATACTACGATTTTCCTCTCGAGACCAACTCATTATGTACCAACTGAATAGTATGCCGTCTGTCTTCGGATAACAAGCACCTCCCCCCCAAGAACTGGTTGGCCCAATGGTCCCGCCTCTAGGGCTCTTTTCCTTTTTCCCTTATCCTGCCTACAAGAGAACCCTTGGCTTAACTGGGTCGGGCTTCTTACCACTCTTGCACTCGACAAGGCTCCAGGGGCAAGTGGTTTGCAGGCGTGGCGAGAGGACCAGTCCACTGGCCGGTCGCCATGGAAACTTGACTGCAAACTGAGCCCCGGTCAGCTTGTCCTCGACAACGCCCGGAGCTCCGACGACCGCACGCACTTGGAAGGGATGCTCCCGAGGCGCGGCGTCTGGTCTCGCCAGAAGGGTCCGCAGAAGGCGTTCGGCCTCGGCGTCGCTCTCAAACTCCTCCTCTTCTTCTTCTTCTTCTTCCAGCCTCTTCCTCGTTTCTTCTGTATGCCCAACGGTCTTCTCCTCCTCACTCCTCTTTCCGCCCACCTCCGAGTTCGCTGAAAGCCTTCCAACGTCAGGAAAGGAAGTATCTCCTCGTAGCCGCCGGTCGTCAGTCAATTCCATGGGCAGTTGTAGGGTCGGCAACTTGTCGACCAGTAGGTCGGCTGTGCACAGAAGAAGAAAAATGGAAGATTAGACCATAATCTGTTCGAATAAGTGTTGTCAAGGTAACAACGATATTTGTTCGCGAAATTGGGACTTTTCAAAGCCTGACTTTTAGTAAAAGTGTAGCTCAATACAAAATGCTGATGGCACGTGATGACATATTTCGCTGAAGATAAAACTATGTGAGTATTAGCAAGTAAAGTCTCTATAATCACAAGATATGAGCTCGAAAGAGGACGCACGATCTGGACGAAGTCACCCAAGAACAAGTAAATAGAAGACGTTAGCTTCATTTTCCCCTCGGTCTGAATTTTGACTTAGCCATTTTACTGACAAGCTTCACTAATATTAATCATTTTTGCAAATTGGTCATATTGGTAGGAAGACTTAGAGGAACGCACCTAGTCTGGAGTCCATTGTATGCATCATCATTTTCAAAGTCGGATCATGGACACGGCACGTTCCCAGACGTTGAGCTGGCATCGTAGTCGGCACCGTCAGTGAGCCTTGCCACTCGTAGCACCACACAACAACTCGTCAAAGAGACAAGTGAAGCCGATCCTTTGACCAAATGTGTACTAAACAGTTGTGGTATCTCCCCTTCTGCCCTAGGCTATTCACATTTCCTATATCCTCCTATCACGTCTTCGCTGTTACCATTTTTACCGTGCTTATTTATATGTAGATACGAATAGAAAGTTGGTTTCGATAAATCTCCTGAAATAACATTGTTAGGTTGACCTTCATTTCGTATGAAAGTGCATGAAGAAGAGATTCGTTGGTCGATCTGATGATGTCCATCATATGATGGACGAAAGCTCAGCACGTTTTCACCTGAAACGAGGGAGGAAGTCCCGTGGACTGCGTCAACATAAATATCGTATAAAAATCCAACCGGCTGAGGTACAACGAGTTTCATCCGTCCTCATCTGGTGAGATCGACCAACGAATATCTTCTTCATGCACTTTCATA